TTTTATGTAGATATGACAACCAAGATTTTACTTTAAGGAGATTTAACATCCTCCCCCGCGTTGAATTATTTGAATAATTTGAATAATTTAACTAAAAGTACGATAAAATGCATGCCTGCAATTGATATGGCATAACTGCACCTTAATTTTAAATAAACAAGTTGATCTAGGTCATGAGAGCTAGCTTCTGTGTTGTTTTTTTTGCTTGTTTACATCTTAAATTGCACATGATTTTCAACTGTCAAAATAGAAGCATTAAAAAGCATTGTTAACATTTTTTGTTATTAAGTTTAAGAACAATTAAAAGTTTCATATGTGAATTTTAATAATTTCAATTAGTTACAATTAATTTATTGGTTAGTAATTCAAAAATTTTCAATGTATTTATAAAATTTAAATTTAAATTTATAAGTGAATTTAAGCCATATTAAATATTACGTTGATGAATCATAGATTGAAGTACATCGCTGGACGCCTCATCAGATAACTGTGTACTTATATTATTTAAAAATTTTACATCATGTTTTGTCTTCCCCAGATTTTTGGTGTGAGATCAGCAGTTGCTCGATCGTTTGGATACCTTCGAATTGCGTCCGAAATGATTGATACTACTAACCGATGATAACCGATGTCAGTTGTTGCTTTGTTGCTTCTTTTGGTTGTATTGGTGGTATCTTGTCATCTTCACTGTCGTTGGTTTCAGAAAAAAGTGGAGCCAAATTATGTATGGCACGTCTCACAATACCTGATGCTGTTTTAACATCGACCACACGTACCATTCCGTCAGTACCCTTATGTATGTTGGTTACTCGACCCAATGCCCACTGAAGAGGAGGTAAATTTCCATCCTTCATGATGACTAAAGTGTTTTCTTGCAAATTTTTGCATTCTTCTCGCCATTTATGTCGGTATTGTAGCTCATTTAGATATTCAGAGTTCCACCGTCTCCAGAATTCATGTTTTATGTGGGACACCAATTTCCACCTCGTTAGTAATGATGTCTTTAAATTTGGTGAGGTTGTACTTGCTGGTGCTGTAAGAGCTTCACCAATTAGAAAGTGGCCTGGCGTAAGTGCTTCAAAGTCATTTGGATCATTCGACATTGGAGTAATCGGTCTTGAATTCAAAATCGCCTCTATTTCAATAACAACTGTTTCTAACTCTTCGTACGTTAAGGATTCTGTGGCAACGCTGCGCACAAGTAAATGTTTCGCCGACTTCACTGCTGCTTCCCAGAGTCCTCCGAAGTGGAGCGTACGAGGAGGAATGAAGTTAAATTTAATACCTTTTTTGCTGCACGCTCTTTCAATTACTTCTCCTGATTTTTTTGAGTAAATTAGTTCTACTAGTTCATTCAGTTTGTTATTGGCTCCAACAAAATTAGTTGCATTGTCACAAAATAGATTTTGGCAATGCCCACGCCTCGCAACAAAACGTTTAACTGATCCAATAAATGCGTCGGTAGTTAGGTCACTTACCAGCTCCAAATGTACTGCCTTGGTGGCAAAACAACAGAAAACAGCAATATATGCCTTGTGCGGTCGCTTTCCTCTTACTTTGTAGTGTACCCAAATTGGTCCACAAAAATCGACTCCCGTGTTAAGAAATGGTCTACTTGGATGGACTCGAGCATGTGGAAGATTTCCCATGATTTGATTGAAAGTTACAGGTCTACACCTTGTACAACGAATACAGTGTTGCACGATGGACCGTGCCATTACCTTCCCCTTGATCGGCCAAAATTTTTGCCGTGTCGCTGCCAATAATGAATTTTCTTCATTAATAGCTTAACTATGCAGTCATTGTATGGGAGGAGCATTTGATGTTTAGCATTATATGTTAGATTTGATGCGTCTAATCTTCCTCCGACGCGAACGATATCATATTTATCTAAAAACGGCGTCAATGCAGCTAACGAGCTTGATGCTTTCACCAGTTTGCGATGCTTTAAATCAATTACCTCTTCCTTGAATTCAGCAGCCTTAATGCATTTCACGATGTACCTAAGTGATTCTTCTAACTCTTCCGGATGTAATTCATTGGTATGATTATTAAATTGAAGTCGCTTACTACGCCTTATGAACCGTAGCACATAACCAACAATGTGAAGCAATGTGTTAAAAGAATTTCTGTGGTTTACCTTGTATATCCATTCAGTATCATCTTCGGTTGCTGTTAGCATCACTTTCTGCGAAGTTTTTTTTTAACTCGGCGTTGTCTGGCTGATTGCATAGGGCTTTATTAAATTCTTCTGGCCACATATCTTCACGACCATGTAGAAACATAGGACCATAGAACCATAAATTATGAGTTTGCAATTGAGATGGTTTGATGCCGCGTGATAAGGCATCTGCTGGGTTTAGTCTTGAACTTACATGTCGCCACTGACTTGGTGCGGATAAGTCTTGAATTGCCGCAGTCCTGTTTGCTACAAATTGTTGATGTTTTGCTGGCAATGAATTAATCCAGTAGAGTACAATTTCAGAATCAGTCCAGTAATATGATTCTGTCTTATGATTTAAATCGCCCTTTACCCTATTCATTAATGTGGCTCCTAGAAGAGCAGCGCACAATTCTAAGCGTGGAATGGTTTGCTTTTTGATTGGGGCGACCCGAGATTTAGAGCATAGCAGTCGATTGATCAAGCGTCCATCTTTCAGTGTTGCTCGAATGTATATAGCTGCTCCATAAGCCTTTTCGGAAGCGTCACAAAATGCATGGAGTTGCACCGATGAAGCAATCTGCTGTCCAAAAATATGCCTATCTATCTGAAAATGGTGCCATGACCTTAACTCGTCACAGACATTAATCCATCTGGTATGTACTTCACTCGGCACAGCTTCGTCCCATGATAAGTTGAGTTGCCACAGATCTTGAATTAGTATTTTTGCTGTTACTAACACTGGACCCAAAATACCCAGGGGATCGAATGTTTTTGCTAAACTAGAAGTTATCGATCTTTTTGTTATTCGCTTAGATGGGGTTAAATCGATCCTTATGCTGAATTTGTCACGCTTTGGTTGCCACGATAATCCTAATGTTTTAACTGATGCTTGGTCTTCATTGCTGAAATCTAAATCGACCTCTTGGTCCTCTTTTGCTATGTCTTGAAGCAGCAAAGGATTATTAGCACACCATTTTCGCAATTTAAAACCAGCTGATTCCAATAAATCGTGAAGTTGACGTTGTATTTCTAAAGCTGTGTCAAGACTATCTGATCCACTAAGACAATCGTCCACATAAAAATCATTTATAATTGCTAAGGCTCCAAGCGGGTATTTAGTTGATTTGTCTTTTGCTAGTTGCTGCAAACACTTCGTAGCCAGATATGGCGCTGACCTTGTGCTATAAGTTACTGTATTTAATTGGTAAAACTGCAATGGGTCGTTAGGCGATCTTCTCCACGCAATGATTTGGTATTTTCTATCATTTGGATGTATAAGGATTTGTCTATACATCTTTTCAATATCTGTGCAAAATGCAAATCTGGGGCATCTGAAACGGAGTAAAATGGAAAACAAGTCACTCTGAATTTTTGGGCCTGTTAACAATATGTCATTTAATGATAACCCGTTGCTGGTCTTGCACGATGCATCAAACACTACTCTCAATTTTGTTGAACTACTGGTAGGTCGAATTACACAATGATGTGGGATCAAATAATGTGATGTGATGTCCTCGATATGAATTTTGCTCATGTGGGCCAACTTTTCGTACTCATCCATAAATTCTACATACTGCTTCCAGACTGCTTCATCTTTGCTTAATCTTCTTTCTAGGGCATAAAATCGGTTTATCGCTGTGTTTTGAGAATCTCCGAGAATTGATGGATTTTGTTGAAACGGTAATCTCACAATAAATCGACCATGGTTGGTTTTTTGTACATTGTTTATAAAATGCGATTCGCACAACTCTTCTTGCTGAGTTAAGTTTTTGTTTGTAGGTGATGCTTCATCGAGTTGTCAAAATTTCTCTATCACCTTTTCTATTTGTTCTTCATCGTCCGAGCAAATGCCGCATGTTTGCATCTGCACACCTAAATTGTTGTCAGTTATTTTTCCTATCACAATCCAGCCCAGTAACGTATTTTGCAATATTGGAAGATTATTGCCAATTTTAATCTGTCCGATCGACAGCAGTTCATGTGAAAATTCTGCCCCCAGTAAGAGATCAATATTACCCTTTTGGTGAAAGCAAGGATCAGCCAACTTAATATTGCTCGGTATGTCCCAATTTGAAATGTCGAGCTGCATGCTTGGTTGATCAGACACGATACTTGGTAACACGTACGCTTCCACTCTTGCGGCATATTCATTGATTTTGTAACTAAAACCCAAATTTACTCGCCTTTGAGCATTTTGTTTCCTTTGTCCAATACCTTCGATGCATGCGGATAAGTTCATTGGATTTTCTCCTAGTTTTTTGATGAGTCTTTCCGTTACAAGATTTACTTGTGAACCGGAGTCTAATAATAGCTGTGTTTCAGCAAACATGATCCGCTCAATGATCTGAATCATCTTTGCTGAAACGATACGGATCACGTTTGAAAATAATTGGCAACGCATGAAATACGACAGTTGGGTTTGTGTACAAAATTTTTTGATTTTTGTGAATAATTTTGGCGCTAAAAAAATAAGTGAGAAAATTTTGAATACAAAAAATCTAAAAAATGGAAAATAAATAAAATCTGTTGAAATGTCTAAAGTATGAAATGTAAGTTTTTATTTAGTATTTACTTAAAAACTTCAATTTAATTCTATAGTAAATAAATGGAAATTGCAGATTTTATTAGAATTATCGAGCAAAACTGACTCCTCTATTTTCTTTTTAAACACTAGTCCAAGTGTATTAAGCGCAAGGGATGAAGTGCATCAGCATGGATATAGTGGAAATTTTATGGAAACGATCAATAATTCTTCCGTTAAAGATTATTTGATTGGTATTTGCGCATAAAAAATACAATTGCTATATATTAATTATGTTTCATACATTAAGACCGAAAAGTTTTCGGAAATTCTCATTTAAAATTCGCGCGCTGTATATTTTTCGATATTTTAAGTTTATGTAGTTTGGCAGCACTGTCCTTAATTACTATGCCAAAAATGAGCGCGATCTGTCAGACAGTTCGTTTACGGCAGCTGTTGAAACCAGTTCACCTCAGTAGGGCGTTGCGAAAAAAACAATGGAAAAAAATATTGAACAAAGAGTTTGCATCAAATTTTGTGTTTCGAACGAAATTTCGTGTGCAGAATCGTTGCGAATGCTACAAAAGGCTTATGGGGAATCAGTTTTATCGAAAACTCAAGTTTATGAGTGGTACAAAGCCTTCCAGGACGGTCGTACGACCGTCGAAGACATTTCGCAACGCACTACTGAGGTGAACTGGTTTCAACAGCTGCCGTAAACGAACTGTCTGACAGATCGAGCTCATTTTTGGCATAGTAATTAAGGACAGTGCTGCCAAACTACATAAACTTAAAATATCGAAAAATATACAGCGCGCGAATTTTAAATGAGAATTTCCGAAAACTTTTCAGTCTTAATGTATATTAATAGATTTGTTAATAAAATCCAATCAGCAAATACAAAATAACCGTGGTGGTCACAATTGAACGAGAGCAATGAAGGAAATTTACATATTTTTGTGGTATATGACAAATATAAATACTTTTCGCGAATTTGATATTTGTTTTGGCATATCAAAAGCTTCTGTATGGAGAATAATTGAAAGAACTAGTGTTTAGCTTATATCAATTGCAAAATTTCCGTTCGTGATTGACAGCATACATGGTAAAATAAATGCACCTCACCATAGCAATTAGGCTTATTTCAAAAGAAAGCATGACTATGGCTTAAACTTGCAAGCAGTTTGCAATGGTTTTTTTTATAAACGTGTATGTTGAAGAGCTTGTTTCCTTTTAAATTAAATAAATGTATTCAACTTAATGTTTATATATTCATTTCAAATTAATTGATTTTAACAAATTATCAAACAACACTTTTTTAATAATAATAAAACGTAAATAATTAAAGTAATAATTTTAATTAATTTTAATAATTTTAATTTATAGTAATAGTAATAATTAAAGTATTACTTCAAACAAAGAAATAAATAATAATGACATATTAAATAAATAAGTACATAAAATAAATAATAAATAAATAAAATCAATAATAAATAAATATAAATGTAGATTTGTTTATAATTTTACTGCACCATTGCATCGCATTGCCAACCTCATTTGCATTAAAATACGTTCCACTTTTATCTTTTACATACATTCCACATTGAACCAGAAAGTGAACCAGATCAATTGCTGGTTCACCCCATTGTTTTTGTTTTGCATGTAAAATTGAGCGGATCATGTTTGCTGAAACACAGCTAATGCTCTACATTCAACCTTGATGCCTTTATTGCTTCGTATTATTACGCGTGCTGTTCCCAATACAACATAACCCTTGTTGTAATTGTTATAATTGGAGATCAGGCTTATTGACTTACTCGAATTTGTTATTTTATTTGGGTTAGTGCATGTTGCATCTTCCAGATGTAAAAGAGAATTGTGTTTTTTATTGCATATTTTACAATTGCCTGACGAGCATTCTCTTGCAAAATGGCCAAACTTTAAACAATTAATGCACAACCGCATTTGTTTAACTAACTGAAGTCTTTTAGTGGGAAGTTCTTGTATGAATGACTTGCACGTGTACAATGGGTGACGGTCATTCTTGCATGCTGGACATAGTTTTTCGTAATTTGATCCTTCGTTTGTTGCAGCAACTACTCTCGATGTGTTTAAGACCTTTACGTTGAATCCTCTGCCGAAAGCCTCCAGTGACTGAAATCGGCTTTCAATAAACTGTAGAAGTTCTTCAAACGACACGAGTGAACGATTATCCTTTAGAGATTGTTCAAATGCTGTTTGAGTTCCTCTATCTAATTTCTTTAAAGTGAGGTGCACCAATATTGCATCCCATTGTTCTATTAGAATACCCTGTGCCTTTAAGCCCAAAATGCACTCCTTAGTGACATCATGCAGCGATTTTAAACCTGATGAAGTTTCCGCAGTTAAAGACGATTGGCTTAACAACTTGTTGAGTAACGCTGTGATGAGTAGACGTTTATTGTCGTATCGAGATCTTAGAATTTGCCATGCTGTGGCATAATTTTCTGTTGAAGCTGGCAAATGTTTGATTAGATTTTTCGGTTCACCGATTAAATTGGTGGTTAAATAAAACATTTTTTGCATTGGTTTAAATGGTTGCTCGTCAATGAGCTGTAAAAACAAATCGCGAAATTGTACCCACATTAATGGGTTTCCGTCAAAACTTGGAAGCGTAATTTGTGGCAATTTTACTGATTGCAATGTTACTGTATTTTCTGAGATACCATCACTAGAATTTAACAATTTTAGCTTTGATTTTATTAACATCAATTTATTGTGTAGTTTTCTTTCTATTTCAAAAAACGCTTCCCAACTGTAGTCCTTTACCGTGTCTGCAGTGGTGGAGTTCCATATTATATCATTGTTTTGTTCTAACTTGCTAAGATAATTTTCCAGCTGTGCCTGACTTGTCCTGTAAACCACTTCTTGTTGTGGTTCTTCAAATGTTGATTCTATTTCCTTCATGGTCTTTTCAATGACGCGAATCAGCGCCCTTTGATTCCGTAACGGTTTTGTCACGGTTTTGTCTTCGGTCGACACAGGCTTGTTCCCTTCTTGTTTCTTATCTCCTTCAATGGTTGCCATTTTTTTACGTGAAAAATGAATACCTGTATGAAATTAACAGTTGGTACCAGATGAATTTTGACTGAATACTTTTGATCACGTATCTTAATGCAATAACGTTATGTGTACATGCACCAAGTTCTTAGCTGCCGTAGATTACGCACCAAGTGATGATCCTGTTAATGCTACAATCACGTCGGGGTCACCAAAATGATAAGAACGCGTTTGTTCTTAGTAAATTCCAAATGGTTATATTAAGTAAAATGTTAAGAACGCGTTTGTTCTTAGTAATTTCCAAGTGGTTATATCAAGCTTCCAACACGCACGTGCACGCGTTGGATGATATATTTTGTATTTTATTAATTGTAAAACTGCCGAGCACTTAAACTCGTAGTTTGCCTCAATAATCAAATTTGAAATAAAAAAAATAACTTCAAATATTTTATCTGTATTTTATGTGTCTTTATTTATTTTCAGGTATTTTGGAAATTTATTGTTAAATGTGCTATTATGAAATGTTGTTACTCGTATCACTGTTCAACCAAAAAGAGGAAGTCTTTTAGTTTAAACCCAACACAGAAGCTGCTCTCATGTCCCTAATCAAGCTTAAAGCTTACTTCATTCTCCTTTTGTTGCCAAACAGCTGATTAATAGTGTTTGACAACGTTAAGTAGATGAAGTCTTTTATGTAGATATGACAACCAAGATTTTACTTTAAGGAGATTTAACACTTATATTTAGTTGTACACGTGTCTTACTTTTTTGTGTTACTTTTAAATTTCGAATAACGGAATGAGTTGGGTGTTCAATTTAGCCACTAGATTTTTAGGTGTGCAATAAAATCCTTACAAATTTTATAATATACATTAATAGTATTTTATAGATTTAATTTTATAGATTCTTAGTTAAATTCTGTTAGGTTAGTTTATATGCGCAACATATATTGTACCAATAAATTTTGCCTATGTCATATTTTTCAATATGGGAGAGACAAAACTAAGGAAACATATGTCTTTTCTAGCCAATTTTGGTAGGTTTGGGATATGTCCACCCGCAAATATAAAATATTTTATTCAAGCTATTTGTTTCAGCAAGTTAATAAATAAGTTCTATAAAAATTCAAATTCACAACTATTTTTAATGATATAAAGGAATTGTATAGGCATTTAAAAATTATTTAGGCCTTTTTCTTTTTATTGCATGTCACTAATAGAGAAGCAAATATCATAAAAACAAAACCTTTTAAACTTGATGCACATTATGACGCTTGCATATTTTGTCGCCACGTCAATGTGTTTTAGCCTTCAGTTATTACCTACGCCAATGACAAAAATATTGTCTGTGAATTTATAACAATAAAAACTAACCACACAAAGTGCATTTTATATTGCTCTGCTTGAAAAGGAAAATGGACCAATATTATAAAGATAAGCATTAAATTTGATTGTTTAGCAACTAAAACGCAAACCTTTTCTTGAAAATTATGTTCGAATTTCTTTCACTAAAAAATAAATAAGTGATCAGTAGCAAATTTGAATCATAAAGAATTATAAAAAAAATAATAAAATTATTCTAAATAATTTACTTAAATATATTGAAAACAAAATTTCAGAACTGGGAATTAATGAACACAGCAGTCCTAACAGGTCGACAAGTAGCACAAGCTATGAAAGTCTTTATCGTGTCTCAAGCTGGAAAAGTAGCTGATGTAACATTACAAAGTTCATGTTTTGCGGAAGATGAAAGTGTTATAAAGGTACATATGTGTGTTTTTAAATTAGTTTTAGTTAAACATTTTAATATTTTTAAGGTTTCTTCATCGTGCAGCTCTGTATATGTGGATGGTTCTGAGATTAGAGGTTCCTCAAATGCATCGGTTATTGTTAAATATGGCACATATATTGGTTTGGCGAAATTTATTGTTTGGATGCCAGAGTTTCCACTTGAAGTTTATGTAGAAGATATTAGACTTTCCCAAATAAAAGGTTGGAAAGTAATAGATGACAGTCATTATGCGTAAGTGTTTTTAAAGCATCTAAAAATAGTTATTTTGAAGCTTATTTTTAAAAAATCTTAAAATTTGAATCGTCACTTTTGTACTTATAGCATATTTGCCAAATAGCTCATACTCAATAATTTATTTTCTAAAAACTTAAGGAATAATAGTCAGAAATTTTTGTATATTATTTATAAAATGCTATTGTTTCTTTCTGTTATTGGTTGAATTTCTAAATTTTTATGTCTTATAAGAGTTGTTATATTTGTAAAATACAATTTTCTTACAAAAATTGCTATCCACATAAAATCAATAAACAAAAAAAAACATTTCAGCAAAATGTTGTGTTTTCTTGATCAATAACAAGAAAAGAATAATAATAAGATTAATAACAACATTACTACAACACCAGCGAAATAACAGCGCTTATTACATTTCTTCGCTGTAAAAAAAGCGACGAAAAAGCAATCGGAACAAGCTAAGGAGTAGGTTAGGTTAGGTTCGGAAGGCGCGTGCTGCCAATTGTCAGCACTTCCACTCGGAGGCATATATTGCCCATTGTGATGCCCTCAAAAAGTTTTGCCGGGAGAGGCGAGTTGCTAACCTTTATAATCCTTTTTAAACCATTTGGTTTTCAAGATGAAGTTGAGGAGATCCGATAAGTTTACTTTCGTTATCTTATCCAAGCCAGTGAAAAAGCGATCTCCGAGACATTGAAGTCGCCTTCTCTGAAGTCCTGGACAGAGACAGAGAAAGTGGTTGATAGATTCTATTTCATCTTCATCTTGGCAACTCCTGCATAAACCACTTGTTGGAACTCGCCACCGTTGGAGCATAGGTGCAATGGCACAGTGCCCCGTTAGTACTCCAGTAAGCACACGAATTGCTGGTTTGCTGAAGCTTAAAAGGCTTTTCGTTTTATTTTTATCCAACCTCGGCCATAAGGTTCTGGCGACCTCACAGTCTTCGCGGTTAGTCCATAAGTTGTCTGTCACCGTTTTGGTGATTTCCTCTATTATCCTAAACAGCTCACACATTGGTGTGTGTATTGTGAGGTCGGCCTCTCTTGTATGCATTGCAGAATCTCTTCTAGCCATCTCATCTGCTAGTTCATTCCCTTCGATATTGCTATGCCCAGGAATCCAGCAAAGAGAGACCTTGTGATGTTTGATGCTCATCAGTGAGGCGCGACATTTTAATTCAATCTTGGATTTAACTGTTTTAGATTCAATTGCTTTCAAAGCGGCCTGACTATCTACAAAAATCGTGATATTCGATGGACGAATTGTACTTTGTTGTATAAGTTTAGCCGCTTTTTCAATAGCATATAGCTCAGCCTGAAAGACGCTGCAAGTATCAGGGAGTCGGTAGGACTGCCTTATCCTCATATCTTTTGAGAAGATGCCTGCTCCCGTACCGCCCTCCATCTTTGAGCCATCTGTGTAGATAGTAACTTCAGAGTTACCTGTCACACATCCAAGCTCCCAGCTATCTCTGGTTGGATAAAGAGTGGGAATTCTGGTATAGAAATCTAGTGTTGGTGTCATGTAGTCTGTAGTGGAGTCTAGATCTGCCTAGACTGATCCCTGACCCCTCCTAATCTCCTTTAAAATTGTACGGTGTCCGTAGTTAGCTGGTTTCCACATCTTAGACTCCCGAAGCCTAAGAGCATTTTTGGCAGCAAAGCCTTGAATGAACACCCACAGTGGTAAGAGATGTAGTATTACATTTAAACCGTCTTGAGGCGTACTATTGATTGCTCCGGCGATACCTAAGCAAGCCAATCTCTGTGTTTTTCCGATGCGGGCAAAATTGCATTTTTTCCAACGCCTGCCACCAGACCAGAGACCCATAGATCAGGCCCATGATAGGCCTGATGATCGTCATTCCGTATACTACGTACGATGACAATCCCCAACTCTTCCAAAAGGTCTTTTTGCAGACATAGTATGCAGCTAGTCTCCAATTTTGTTTGGAATCAAGGACGACGCCAAGATACTTGGCTTCCGAGGTCAGTCAGAGTCAGTGTAATGCCATCCAATCTGGGTAAGGTGAAAGTAGGTATTTTAGTTTTCCGTGTGAACAGGACAAGCTCTGTCTTAGTAGGATTCACCCCTAAGCCATTGCTTTATTGAAAGCTCCCTCGATGTCAAGGAATCCAGCCAGGGTGTACTCCTTTAGTTGGAGTGTTCTTTCAATAGTACCAACCGCTTCGTGGAGAGCACCCTAACCTCCTGCCAAGCTTTAGGTATATATCCATCCCTTAAGCATCTTGAACCATCACCCCTGCTGTTGGTATCACTGCTACCCCAGAGTTCGTGATGTCCATTTGCATCGCAACCAGCTACCAGAAACAATCCTCGTGATCCTGCATATGCAGACAGTGCTCGAAAGGCTGCTGGTGGTGGTTCTTCTTCATCGTACGGAAAGTATGCGGACGTTAGCAGCGGGCTAGGCCTGTGCCTTTGTTCACATACTACCGCTGTGAGATCTCCATGGCTGTAAGAAGTTAAGGGAAAAATATTAAGACTTTTCTTTGCAACTATACAGGTTCTAATCTTACCTTGTGTATGTGAAGTGTAGAGATGATACCCACTCAGTCCAAGTCCGGCGACTTTGCCTTTGACAAGCCATGGTTCTTGGACAATTGCCACGTCCACATCACGCTCCGCGAGGTACTTAATCAGGTCGAGCGAGGCTAGGGTGGAGTGGTGCAGATTAATTTGCACTACCTTCAGCCTTTCCTCTGCTGGTTTGAGGCCTGTCACCTGGCACCCGAACCTTAAGAGAACCTAGCCCGAATTTGATGGTTCCTTCCTTTTTTAAAATGGATAGAGACGCTTGATCCACAGCGATTAGTATGTCACTACCTGTTCCGCTTTTACAGACAGCCATATTCACTATCTGCCATTCAGATGTTTTCAGCGCCTTATTTTGTCGTTCGATGAGTTTCAATATGACGTCCTTCTCCGGAACCGGAGGTGGGACCCACAGGGATACAATCGGGCGTACAGGGAGCTGAGAGCGAGGAACTACTTCGAGTTAAGCTCCCTGCCAGAGTGTGCCAAGACTATCGATTGTTCGCGTAAAGAAATCCAAAGACTTCTTGTTGCCGCAACCAACAACCTTAACACCTTTCTGCCATCCAGAAGGAAGAGTCGCTCGCCCAGGTGCCCCTCTCGCTCGACATCTACCGCTGGTACTGGGGATCCGACTCCCTGCACCGTAACTTTAATATTCTCAGCTGACATTAGTCATGCAAAAACGCCTCCTCCCTGTAGGGTTTCTT